CACTAAGTAGACATAACATCTATTAGTAATAGTGAGAGTCTATCTATAAGATAGAAGAAAACGCACTGCGTGGTGATCCTGAAGTATACTAATTACAACGAGATTGAGTAACTGTAAAAATATCATCATCAGACATTGGTTGAACATCTACGTCATGATTATACCTACCAGAAGCCTGATTGTGACACTGTGAATACAGTTACTATTGTTATTTTGAAATACATTTATATGCAAAAGCTCAAAATGATATCATAAGTTCCAGGCTCAGGTAGATAATCTTGTGATGTGAATGTTCAATTAATATCTATCTCAGTAAGTTAATAATTGTGATTCAGTTACTTTAGGATTGTGATGCTGTGTGACTTTTTCTATTCTATTAATTTAGAATAGATAACACTACTACTAATAAATATCTTCCTTTATATTTATTTAGCGTGATAATAGTTTTATAGCAATATAGTACTAATATCCTATAGCAACCTGGTTGAATGTTCAGTAGTGTATAAAGTAAGTGTTATAACAAGATTAATAATTATAAAATCAATTAATGTACAATTTCATTAACAATAAACAAAAAGCAATTTATTGATTAGCTAAATTTTGTATTGATCAATTGATATCTTTTGGTTTATTCAAAAGATTCTTTATTTATATAAAATAATTTATGATCAAGTTATTACAATGTGAAATATGTTATATATATAAGATAAATATGATATAGCAAATAATGTTGATATGTCTGAGAACTCTGTTATCTTTACAATTTATGTTTAGTCACATGATTAGAATTAAGGAATTAAAGATAATTCTGAATCATAACAATAGTAACAATATATAACATATTACAATAATGACAATATGTGATAATTGATAAATAAAAAGTGATCATTTAAAATAATTATTTGAAATAATTACTTGGAATGATTATTTGAAATAATCATTTTGAGTGCTTACTTAAAGTAGAATTTTGAAAAAAATCTGATTCAGTTCAAGCTTGAACCAGACTTGAACCTGATCAAAAGTCTGATTCAAAAATTCAAATCTAATTAAAAGTCTGATTCAAGTTCAGTTCGAATTTTGAACCAAACTTGAATCTGATCAAAAGTTCAGTTTGAGTTCAAGTAAATGTTTGTTAATGTTCTAAGTAAATGTTTGTTGATGTTCTAAGTAAAGTTATAAATCGTAACATGAGCTACAAATTGATATAAGATAGTTAATATTTAGGATAAATATTTAAGAAGTTATATGAGTTTAAAAAATAATTTTAATTATTATGATTTTAATCTGCTTTAGTTTTAGTATAATAAATATTTATTTTATTATAGTAATCATAAATTACGGTTATAAGAGCTACAAATTGGTATAAAATAGTTATCATTAATAATAATTATTTGGAGAGTTACATAGCATTTACGATCAAATTTAATAAACGTAAAAATAAAAATACTTTAATTATCACTATATAAACTTTTAATTCTTACTAAATACTATAAATTGTATTTATAAATAAAGTTGTAACTTAACAGTTCGGTTTGAGTTCGGTTCAAACTTTGAATTTTTCTTGAACTCAAGCCAAGTCTGGTTCGAGTTCAGTTCAAATTTCGAACTGAACTCGAACCCGGGCAAAAATCCGGTTTGGTTCGGTTCATTAAATAATTATTTGAAATAATTATGTGCAATAATTGTTTATAATAATCATCTATATCAAATATCAAATCATAATAGTATTAGATTTTGGTTAGCATTAAGATTATTATTAAATTTTGAACATTAAGAATTATAATTCAAATTGGATTAAGTTTATTCAAAAATTCGTGGAGAGTGTATTTTTATAATAAACTGGAGGATGATCATACTTCACTTGGTTATGTGGCGCAGCAATTGTGGGACTAGGTGTTCTGTGCTGTAGTTGATTTACTTTCATCATCAGATCATACACCAAAAAATATGTATTTTATTTTCTTATTTGACTGTCTTCGCGTTCGCGACACATTCCAATTTTAAAATTAATCTTTAAACCTAATTGAACAGATATGGAGACACCCTTAAAAAAAACTCCAGCAACAACCACAGATCGAGACCAACTCGAAAAATTAGTCAAGGAAACAAAGCAACTAAAACAGAAAGTTGACGCACTCGAAAAGGAAAATATGTTGTTGAAGAAATCTATATATGACTTATCGGTTACATATAGTGTGGCTGCTGCTCACCACTCAAAAACAAGTCCTTTTGTTATTGATTTAGAACCACCTGCTAAGGATAATAGCGGTAGTGCTGGCGCTTGTATCGGAGGCTCTGTGGGTATTATTGCACCGAGTAATAATGGAGGTACTGGAACTGTCGCGAAAGAAATCAGTTTGGAGAATTCGACAGCAGGTAGATAGATATTTAATGAATTGATGCTATACTATCTTCGGTTTGATAATATTTCGATTAAATTGATTCAAGGTAACAATACTCGTGATAAACTTCGTGAAGGAAGAACGTTTCATCTAAAATCAGATATCAAGGTTAACTAATTCTTTGATAATTACAATCAAGCTTCATTTATTTAAAATTAATATTTTCTTTATGAATAATCACAGGGCCATGGTGGGGCCGTATATACGGTTCGTTTTTCGCCGTGTGGTAAAATGCTTGCATCCGGATCTTTTGATAAAACTGTTCGAATATGGGATACGATATCATTGCAAAAAGAGGTTTGTTAAAGTGACGTGGCGTGACGCGACGTATATGAACAATGTTACTATTATTATGTCAGTTCACTTCATATTTATTTACATAAAAAATTTATTGAAAAAACAAATAGGCTAGTTGTCTAAAAGGCCACACATTAAATGTTTCAGACGTATTCTGGTCAAATGATTCCACGACACTCTTATCTGGTGCCTACGACCAATCTTGTAAGCTCTGGGATCTGGAGACTAACAAATACACTTTTTCATTCGAGACAGAAGGATTCGTTCAGTGCGTGATGTTCGATCCGCAGGGTATTTATTTGAATATATATGAATATATGTAATTTACTAACTGATGTTATCACGTTACATTTTAGACAACAATTTTTTCGCTTGTGGAACAACACGTAAAGTGCTAGCAGTTGTTGATAGACGACGGCGCGACAGAGCTATAAAAATAAAAAACGATGGGATGATAAATTCCCTTTATATATGTAGTGATGGTCAGAATATAATTACGGGTGATTCAATGGGGTACATCAAAACATGGGATATAAGAACCGGTAAAGAAAGAAACTCGCTTAAATATTAAATTTAATATGCAGCGTATCATTCAAACATTATCATATGTAAATATTCTTAATGGTAACAACATAGGCTCATCCTTTCAAACAATTCTTAATGAACAGACCAAGAAGCCTATTTCGCACCTCACAGTCAATCGCAAAATGACCGGTAGTTAATCCATCTAAATTCAACCTCTCGCAGTGGATAATATATGTAATAGATATATAATATGATCATAAATATAATAAATGTTTCTTTTACACTAAATAGATGAAGAAGAACCGCGACACATGGCAGTCAACAGCTACGATAATGGTAAGATTTATTCTTAGAGAGTAGCCACCCAATAATCAATGATGAAATTCATGTATAATATATATTCAATCGAATATAGTGGTAAGGGTATACGATCGTGGATTCCAGCCGACAAAGTCACAACCGCGTTTGTTGCATGCTTTGAAAGGATACAAGAATAAAGGGTGGCCTATCAAGAGCTCTTTTTTACAAGGAAAAGAATGTTAGTATTAAAAAAAATTATTGTGAGTGGTATGTAGAATAAAGAATAGTCCAAATTATTAAAACAATTTTCGCAGATCAGCACTCAATGGAGGCAAGACGATTATCACATAAGGACGTGTATGGAAATACAGAGTTACAGCCGGTTGTTCAAGATAATATCGAGTAAGTCATCATATTCTTTAACAATTATAAAAAATATTAATTTTACAACAAACCTTAAAATAAATAACCGATTTGAATAGATACGTTAAAGATAAGCCACTTGAAGCAAGTTTGTTTCTAGCCACTGGCAGTGCAGATCCTTACGCGTATCTCTATGATGTAGGCGGACCAGAGGTAATATTAATAAATGACTTAAAGTTTTTTGGTAATTATCAAGTTTATCGTCAACGTCATTCTTCATTATTAGAGTACCGGTGAGTTAATCCAACGGCTTGAAGGCCACACAGATTTTGTGTACGCGGTTGATTTTCATCCGATTGATCCGATATTAGCATCTTGTTCTGCTGATTGCACCATTAAAATTTGGGCACCGAATGGGCGAGCGAAGAAAAAGAATTCACTAGTTAATTAGTTAGCTATGTGGATATTAACTTGCAGTGATGAATATGTTAGATAATGATGATTCAAGTTGTAAAGATGCCATAAGTGAATTTTTTTGTTCTTTTAAAAAATGGATTATTAGTGTATTTTAATTAATACAGGTTGGTTCAGATCTTCATATACAGTCAAATGTATAAGTAACTGATTTCTGATAACTTTCCAAAAATCATGTATAATATTTTCCAAGCACAAAAAAACATTACAAATGCTGATCATTGATATTTTTATAAATTGGTAGAGCTTTTATATTGGATATTGTGTATTTATAAACTTTTACATTTCAAATACAATTAGTTATTTCATAATGATTAGTGGTTATGTCACACAATAATAAGGACAAGTGAATTTTATAATGATAATGATGAACAAATAATTATAATAAATATGTATAATTATATTATAAAAATTACAAAGATTTATTTTCATTTTTATTGTAACTACATAATATTATAATTAAACAGATAGTGTTTTTATAATCTTAGTGCTTCATAATAATAAGTTTTATCTTTTAGTTGACATATTTTCACAATATTTCAAAAACTCTTAAAAGAATCTTAACTTTATGAATAGGTATATGAAATTTATACATATATAATATATAATAACTAAAATCTTGAATGAATTTTTCTACAATAACAAGATATTCTCTGGATTAATATTGCTACCGTTTCTAGTTCTTACATATGAGAATATTTAGAAATGGTTAACAGTAACTGTGTCCTCGACAGATTTTAAATAAGAGAGATGTAAATGATGAAAGTGGAGAGTTGACAATAATAAACTAACAAGAATACGAGTATAAGATAGAGGTTTAAGTGTATTAATAAGATAAAAGATAATATGATGACAAATGAAAATAACAAAAGTAAAATAAAAACAAAACAAAACAAAAGCAAAACAAAAGAAAAATAAAACACAAACAAACAAAAATAAAGCGAACAAAAGAAATGAACAAGAAAAGTGAAAAAGACAAGACAAAGTTAGAATCAGGATATAATCTTCTTAGTTTATTTCAAGTCAATTCTTATGTTACTGCTACAGTTACTTTAAATGAAGGATTTCTTCACTATTAGTAAAAGAGTTATATGAGTTGGAAGTGAGGAATAGACTAATAAAATTGATCAGTGCAAAAATAAGTATCTAAGCCTGTGCCAATTTCAATAGAAATTGTTAAATAATTCTATCAAAAATGAAAAGAGGAGTTGGAAGAGTGTGTTCAGAGAGGTGATTGATAAAAAGAGGTTGTTAACTAAAGAAAAGGGTATTGATATTTCTATACTTGTAGTTATACGTTCTAGTACTTTCAATACCAAAAGAAATGAATAACTAAAAGATTCATCACTTATTTAGAGTTGCGGTGCACAACTATGATGCACAACTATACCAAAAATAATGCTATAGCAAATCAATATACTTATCCAAAAATACTTAACTGTCTTTTCCAAATT